TTTGCTTTCCTGCTTTGTTATTAAAGTTACTTTTTATTCAATTTTCTTAATTAATTATTCAACTTAAGCATAAATAATGAATTACCAGTTGAAATCCAATCCTCCTGAGAATGATGTTAGGAATGTGGCTTACATACTCGAGAGGGGGAGTGAATTGAGTATTGTAATTTTTTTTTTTGCAAAAGCCCCCTTCTTGTTTCTAAATTAACATTTCAAGCAAACTTTGATATATGAAAAGTTAATCAATACATTCAAACTATCCATAACATATAACCAATCATAATTATCGAACATATACTAGCGTATACAAGATATCAAAGAAAAAATTAAAGTGCTAGAAATAAAGAGTTTAGAGAATTACAAACACAATTATCGAACATATACTAGAACATTAAATCGCTTGTGACCTACGTCTAGACTGAAGTCGCTCGTTCAAATCTTTTACTAACTATCAAGCTTCACAAGTGCTTGATAAAACGCTACAACCTCCAAGCTTCTGGGTGCTTGGAAACCTTACAACTTCTAAGTATGCAGGTAGTTGGATACCGTACAATTCTATCCAAATTTAGTTAGGTATTTGGCTTCCTCTCAAACAATGGGTTTCAACACCTTTTCAACTCAAGAATACAAGAAGAAAAATGTTTGGAAATGAATATACACTCTCAAAGCGTGGATATACAATTTGAAGCACGGTGGGTATATGAATTTTCAAGATATAAGCTCAAATATATTTTATTTTTGAAAGATATGAAAGAATATGCAAATAATAGGGTAGAAGCTCTTAAATCATCCTTAAGATGTATAGGAATAATGATTAATCTATTTTAGGGCCGTTGGGAATGTATATATAGTGATTTTCTCACAACTAGTCATTTATAGCCGTTACAGGCTTTCTGTGACAGTGGTAATCAATTACCTCATTTGCAGGTAATCGATTCCTAACCTGACAGCAAAGACATTGTTTTATATTTTGGACATAACTTGAGTTATGCTTTTAAAATTGATGTGATCTTGCTTTTTTTTAAAGATAAAAGAGAGATCTACAACTTTTATGAAAACACAAGATCCAAATCTATCATATTTGATTAAAAAAATTGTCCGAAAGATAGCAACCAAATTATGCAGCAAAATATAAGTTCAAATGTGTTCTAAGTTGCTTCTAACCACTTTTTATGAAAGATCTTGACTTAGTAAATATGTTTTGAAGTTATAAACATGTCAAGGATATTTTCCATGGATTTTTGAAATTTATTTAAACTATTTAAAGGTTATGAATTATGCAATTTGAAAAATATGTTTACTTTGAGAAAAATCTTTTAGCTCCTGTAATGCAATCTACTTTATATCCTTACAATCATATCTAAGTCCTAAAAATGTATTCTAATAAGGAATTAAACTTAGCTTGTTGCATTCAATCTTAGATATTGATTCTTCACTTGAGCTTGATTCTTTGAATTATTGGTTTTGATCCTTTTTCATCATGGTTGTTATATTGAGCTCCTTTTAAATGTTGTCTATGATTTGTTCTCTTTGATCTTGGTTTTTCTTCTTTTATTCTTCCTTGTTGCTCCACCATGCATCTTCAATCGTTACACGTGGTTGATGTTTTTTTACTCTTGATCAATGTTCTTCTCCTTTTGTTGTTGCAACTTTGTTATCATCAAAACATACCTGTATTTACAAATGATCCTCTTACTCATACAATTTATTACTTGTGCGGTTGGTTCACTTGATAAAATTATATTTTAATCTTAAAAAATACATTCATTATTAATTTATTTATTTACATAATAATAATTTTAATCAACTTTATCCATTAGTTTAAAGTCTAGTTATGTCCGGACATCATTTGAGTTCATTATTTATGTAAAAAATTGAAATATTAAAAATGTTAACTTTCAAAACATTAATAATCTTATATGTAAATAGATAAAATAAGACTTTATTGAGGATTTTATAACTTAGTGTAATTTTGGATTTTTTTATTTTATTGTGGCAAACTCGCAATTGCACTTCGTCAGAAAGAGAGAGAGAGAGTATATATAGTACCATTCTTGAGTGAATAATGTGATCCCCAAATTATGACAATTCAATAATTATGGCTAACGAAAATGATGGAATAATTTAAATTAAAAATTAAAAGTAAGAAAATAAAAAAAAATATTTAGAATCAAGTAATTTCTGATTAAGATTTTATAACTACATATGATTTTACTACAATTACTGATCATGATGAAAATTAATTATTCGGTAGTAATATTCTATTACGTTTTCAAAAATGGATTATTCTATATATTATAATTAAGTATACTCTTTCGCGCCAAAAAAGTATGTTGGAATTAAAATGATGCATATTTTCAAGGTACTCTATTAGTTGAAAACCATTAAACTCTACTATACTTCAATTCTTTGATTTTACAAAAATAGACTTCATCTCTTGATCCTCCACCAAATATCTTAATCTTTGCAAATATGGCGCGCAAAATACCACACCTTCCATGTTATAACGCAAGGAATGAATCAAGTAACAATGACATTATACATTAATAAATCACGCATCAATTACAGTAAAGTATAAAAGTTACATCATATTCTTAGAATATAGTTAGATACTCAAACACAAATAGAATTCAAAAGAGGTAGAAGAAATCATAAATCTATATATCATGGCAAACTAAGGAATTAAGTAGAACATAGAATGTGATTGCCTGCATTTGATCATGAACCAATGAACTACCAATCAATACTCCTCGAAATTTAAACACAAGCCCCTTTATGACGGTCATGGGTAGGATAAACCAAGCTGCTTATTAAGGGCTTACAATTAAATTTATTTAGACTATCTATTAAAAAAAAATAAAGTTTAAACTTTAAAAAAAACTTAATTAACTAAGTATGCTACGTCATAATTAAGTCTTCAAAAGAATACTATTTGACCAATCAAACTGTCATATTTATTTATTATTTGAAAATACAATACAAAGTTATTAACGCTTACATAATTTATTTATTTTGTAAATATATAATGGTATGACTAAGGTTTGAATCTATAATTTGAGGCACACTACCCAAGTCCCTTATCACTAACCCACTCTTAATGGCTAATTTATTAATTATAAAATAATAATATTTATTTTATGCATGACATAATAAGTTAATTATAAATTATAATTTTTTGACATTAAGAAGTCTATTTTCCATAACCTATTTAAAATCTTCATATAATGTTAGCCTTTAATAAGTTTTCTTGTTACGTCAAATTTCCTGTTTTCCCAAAAAAATAAAAATAAAAATATTCGATTGATTCCAAACATAACATATGTTAAACCTTGGTCTAACCTAATTTTTTTTTCTTGATGATAACTCCCTTTTTGTTGTTGTTTTTCGTAGTATTTATAGGAGATGGGTATTGAGTTATCATAGATAAAATGTGTATTTGTGTTAGTTTATTTTAAAGTTACACGCACACACAGTATAATATAATTCAAAGGGCTTTTGAAAATAGAATTCTTAAAAAATATTTTTCCAAATATGTAATAAGTCTAGAGTTTTATGTTAAGCTTATGAGGTCTCAGATCCTTTAACTCCTTTAGCTCTTAATTATAACTGCAGTTCTTATGAAGGTTCATATTTGATGTGGATAAGATTTTTCTTTTTTTAAACTTTATTGTTAAGACTCTCTTAAATTAATTTAAAATCCTTGATATTACACGTGAAAGTTCAAAAAGAAAATCATAAAGTACATAAAAAAATATTAAAAATTCAAATAAAACTAATTAAAACATATTTACGTTAAATAAAATTGAATAGAAAAACCAAATGGTGATAGCTCAGTTGGCGCATGGGAGCTAAGCAGGTGGGGTGAGAACATGTGCTCGAATCTCCCCAGTACCACTTTTGGAAAGGGTTTAAAGCCTTAATCCTGGACACGCCCCAAATTGGATTAGTGGCGAAACAATCAACCGATTGAAATATTTCCAAAAAAAAAATTGTATAAAAATTCTGATAATTGGAACATAGAATGAACGAAATTTTACATTTTCTAAAATTTCTAGAGAAGAATTAATTTCTCAGAAAATCTCTTAATAAAATCTAAATTATATATTATTTTAAATTAATTAATTAATTAATCAAAATATACGATGACTAGGGGTGCTAAACGAATCAGGAGCCTTTGGCTCGGTTCATGAAGGCCAGAACTTACATGTTTAAAATTGATTGTTGGCACCAGGCTTGAACTTGTATAAAAGCTCGTTTAATAAAAAGGCCTCATGCTCCAATTCAAAAGCTCGGCCTTAGAGCCTCTCAGGCTGGCCTAATATATTTTATTTTTTATTTTTTATACTACTTGTAGTAGCCTCTTTCTCCTCAATTCATTTCACCTTATTATATTGGTTAAACAGACTTTTTGAATGATATGGTTTTATATTATGTTGTTTGAATATACATTGAATTTATAAAATTACTAGTGTTGTTGATGGTATATTCTGTTTAGATAAATTTTTGTTGTCTTATTTTTTTAAACATGTTAAACAAGACTTTTATTTTTTATAAACAAGTCAGGTCAAATGCAGCAAGACTTAGTCAGGTTGACATATTTAAACACAGACTTAATCTTTTAAGACGAAAACTCAGTTCTGCTCAGCCCATTAACACTCTTAACGATGAGCTCATCGTCCACTTGCTAGTGAAGCGCGTGATTTATTATAGTAATATGCTGACGATACACATATCTTAAGTCGGCTTACGAGCCGTCGAAAGCCGCGCCATTTCCATACTCATGTGTGTATACTGTGCACTACCGTAATATCATTGTTTAAGGGAACGGTCGAAAAACCGGAAGCGCAACCGGCTGATCCGGTACACTGAAAGTTGCATTTGGATTGAATTTGGGTTCATTTGATGGCTAACCGCAGTAGCAGTCACCTAACCCCAGTCAGATTTTAACCCAGGTTGGTTTATTTAAAGACAGACACTGAGAACTAAGCTGGGCTGTGAACTTGTTCACCCTCAACTCCCAAACTTCTCTCCTCCTCAATCTCATTCCAAACCCTCTCTCTCTCTCTCTCTCTCTCTTTCTGTCTTTCTCTTCAGTTTCATTCTCCCCTTCCTAGGCTATAAATTTTGATGGTGTAATGATGTAGATAGAGAATTAAAAAGAGATCATAGTCAGAAGGAAATTAGTGACTTCTTTTCTTGTTGTGTGTTTTGGTGTTTGCTTGGTTGTGAAATTGGAATCGTTTGATGGGTGAAGAGGGAGAACAAGTGTTAAGAAAGAAGGGACACATAGGAGTTGGTGGAGATAATTGGTTGCATGATAGCTGCTTAAAGTATTGTGCAAATTGGCGCTGTTTAATACACCACTATTCTTGTTCAATGGTTCCCTTTAAGTGAAAAACCTTGTCCTCTCAGCTTTTCTTGAGATCTTGATACTCATTCACTAACAATAAAAGGGATCAAATTTTAAGGACACTTGATCTAATAAGATCCGTGCTTTAGTACTCATGAAGAGACTTGGCAGTTCCGATTCTTTGGGTGCTCTAATGACAAATTGTCCACAAACAGGTTAATTGAGACTTTTGCTTATTAATTTTTTTATTTTATTTTTTATTTTTTTGCTTTTATAATTGAGACAGATCCATGATGCGTTTTTGTGCTTTGTCTTGTCACTGATTGTGATCAAGCTTGCAAATTGCTGGAACCTTTCCAAGTTTTTCTTTTGATTACTTTTATTCGTTATGTTCGATTCCTCCTCCTTTTTTTTTTTCTCTCTTTCTGTATTGCATTACAACTCATCATGTTCAATTACGCTTTTTCTGTCTGGGTATTGCGTTCTGCGTTTGTTTTAAGAGACAATAACTGTTATACTAACTAAATATTCTGTCTGATTTGCATTGACATAGACGAACACAGTCCGAGGAACAACCACGTGTATGGCAGGGAGTTCCAATCCATGTTGGAAGGACTGGATGAGGAAGGGTGTATTGAAGAATCAGGGCATCACGTTGAGAAGAAACGACGACTAAGTGTGGATCAGGTCAAGGCTTTGGAGAAGAACTTCGAGGTAGAAAACAAGCTCGAACCAGACAGGAAAGTGAAGCTTGCCCAAGAACTTGGCTTGCAGCCAAGACAAGTAGCTGTTTGGTTCCAAAACCGTCGAGCTAGATGGAAAACCAAGCAATTGGAGAGAGATTATGGCGTTCTCAAAGCCAACTACGAAGCACTTAAACATAACTTTGACACCCTCCAACAGGACAACGAATCCTTACTCAAAGAGGTAGAAAATCCACTAATAACTCCACTCAATTATGAAACCCTTTTTGTAGAAAAGAGTTTAAAATTTGGCTTGTGCTTGCAGATTAATGAATTGAAATCAAGGCTGCAAGAAGAAAACACTGAAAGCGATGTTTCAGTGAAGGAAGAGATGATAACCCTGCACGAAGACTCAGAATATAAAATGATTGAACGGAGTAACCCATCTCATGAAACAGCCATTAATCCTGGATCCGATTCCAAGGACTTGAATTTTGGTTGCTTCAACAACAATGATGGGGTAGGAGCCGTTAACTCTTCGCTCTTCCCTGCTACAGAGTTCAAAGACGGTTCTTCCGATAGTGACTCAAGCGCAATCTTGAACGAAGAGAATAATAATAGCCCCAACGCGGCCATTTCTTCATCTGGGGTTCTTCAAAGTCACAACCTTTTGATGTCTCCTGGGTCGTCTTCAATACTCAAGTTCAATTGTTCTTCCTCATCCTCGCCATCTTCCATGAATTGCTTCCAGTTCCAGAAACAGTACCAGACACAGTACGTGAAGATGGAAGAGAACAATTTCCTCAGCGACGAGGCCTGCAATTTCTTCTCAGATGAACAAGCACCGACCTTGCACTGGTACTGTTCGGAAGAGTGGAGTTGAGAGAATAAAAGGAAAAGAAGAAGAAGAAAACCAAGTTCATGAGTTTTATTAGAGAGCAGGGAATAGAAAAAATAAGACATTTGCACGGTATATAGGTAATGGAGAGAGAGATGGAGATATGTTTGTAAAAATGGATCAATGAAATCGATTGCCTTGGGCTTGTTGGGGACGCCAACATAGCATGGTGAAGAAGAAGACGAGAACCAAGTTGAAGAGATTGTGAGAGTTGAGAGAGAGAGAGAGTGAGTGAGTGAGAGAAAGGTTGATGACGATCAAGGCTAATCATGACTTTCTCAGCCGTGCGGTGAAGAAGTAATTTATGAATAATGATTATTAGGTCGTAATGAAATCTATGCTGTAAAAATTTTGGATTTGATGGCTAGAAGAAAATTACTTTTCTAATGGATCCATAATTGCCTCGTGCTTCCACTTTTTATTCTTTTTACTTCTTTTAATTGTCATCTTTCATTTCCTATTACTAATTTAATTTTTTCGGGTTAATGACATATCATTCACTTTAGAACTAATATTTCACAAGAATGTTTTTTACAAATTAATCATAAGTAATTAACATGGTTAAAACTTGCTATGGACGCACTAATATCTTTAACAGCCCACAAAAGACAATTAGCTAAGAGAGATAAGGAAATAATTTTATAGGATCGTATAACAATTTTATCATATGACTAATAAATCGAATATTAAGCCCCCTATTATTTTAAGGGATTAAACTAACTAGTTACACATGTTTAACTTCATACTTTTTTAACTGTTATTGTGTCCACACTTTACACCTATGGCTATACAATATACTATTATTATTATTATTATGGGAAAAGTGGAAAATATTTTCTCGTGTTGTATGAGAATTCAATTCTCATGTTGTGATTCTTCGATTTACGTGTAATTTTTTTTCCTTTTTTAATAAATATGGAATTCACCGTTAGTTGAGTCATAACATGATAATTGAATTCTCATGTAACGTGAGAAAATCAAATCCCTATTATTATACATAATGATCTATTATCCTTTATGGCATTATCGTCTCTAGACTCTTTGAAAGTATAAATCCTAAATACAATTATCAACTAGTCGTTGGACATCTCGATCATCTTCATCGAACAAAACTCAAATTCATATCATTCACGATTACAGTCTCTTTTTTCTTACTAATATTTACAAATATGCGTCTTTTCTAAACTGTTTAAATTCTAACCGTGCTTGATTACCATTTACCGTCTATGGTGTTTAACGAAGGTATGTTTATGAATTGAATTTGGCTAAAAGCCTCATTCACTATGTCACAAGTCACAACATGACGGAGGCGTAGAGATTAGATTCAATTGAAATTTATTTAAAAATAAATAAATAAATAGAATTGTCACTTTTATTTAAATCAAAAAGTTAAATTTTTTAAAAAAATTGTCGTTAAACTTTTTTTTTATAATGAATTTGTCGTTATATTTTAGAGTGAAAACTTAATGCCTGATACATCCATTTAATTAATAAAAAAAATTATAAACTAGAATTTTTTATATTAAAAATAAAAATAAGAATATATTAAATGACTACCAAATGTCGTTTAATATTAAGGTTACAGGAATCATAATGTTACAGACGAAAAGAAAAAATATATAAATCTTAACGAGAAAAATAAAATAACATAAAAGGAGAAAAGTAAAATAAAATAAAATAATAAATCTAATTATTTTATAATAAAATAAAAATAAAAATAAAATTTGTTTTCTCTCTCTTTTTTAGAAAGTTATCTCTTTCTGTTTTGTTCTGCAAAAAAGAGAAGATGAAAACAAATTAGTACAGGAGCACGTGTCCCCCTTCTGTCAAAATTTTCACCTAAGAGAATCTAATAATTAAATTAAATTGAAATGCATAAAACTTTTTTTCCAAAATAAATAAATATTAAACTAGGACACGTGTTAAAAAAGACAAAGAAATCACTGTCATAAACTAGTTGTTGAAATGCAAGAAATTATTTGAATAAATATCTTTCCACCAAATTTTACGATATCTACTTTAGTCCCTAGCAATAAAAAAGTCTTAAAAAATTCAAAATGAATTCGTTTAGTTAAAATCGTAGTCCTCATAAATTTGAAAAAGATCCATATTAGTCTCTCAAAAGAACTAAAATGAATTCACTTTGAATTTCTTAGGGACTACGAATAGCCTTTTTATTTGCTAGAGAATAAAGCGGGTATCATAAGATTTGCTGAGGACCAAAAATGATATTTATTCAAATTATTTTATACAGAATCTAAAAAAGTTAATAGAATTTGATTGAAACGTATCAAAAGAGTAGTTGTTGAATAAATCAAAATAATAAATAACACTGATTCATTCAATCGTCAATAACAATATTAACTCATTATGACTCAAATTCTAATAAAAGAATTATGATTCTTTTGTGTGCATAATTTTTTCCACAAATTTAAAAACCTCTTACTCGGATTAAAAATTTCATGACATCTGCTTAAGAACAGAATATGCATCAAAGAATGTATATGACTTCTTCCCTATGATCACATATATTGTAAAACTATAAATACAATTTTAGCGTAACAAAAAAATAATAATTTAATTGAATATTTCATGTTGAGGGGTATCTTTCTATTCCGACTTATGCACCACTAATTATAATAAGTGTCTACGTCTTCATCAGGCATTTTCTTTGTAAAAGCTAACCTTGGAGCTTTCCTCATGCCCCAATCACCAACAACCCTCCATGAAATTATGTACCTGAAGCTCCCGTATAAAAACCCTTCATGATCACCTGCTTGAGCACAATTAAGTATGTGAAAGAAGATTCCATCAGCTTCTGGTCTCACACATTACATGCTATGGCCTTTGATGACGTTTCTGCTTCCCACTATCTTCGTTAGCTGGACTAAATGACAAAATAAGCTCGACAAACATATGGAGGTAGGCACTAGGCATCATCCTTCTTATCCAACGAGTCCTATAAAAAGAGAAACCCACTGCTTCACAAGGGATTTTCATTCCTCATGTCACTCACGAGATTTGAAACAAATGACTTTGGTTGTGTTCTTTTGAGAAAATTTTATTTTTTATATAAAAATATGTTTAATTTTTTAAGTAATTATACAATTAAAAACAAAAAAACTCATAAAAAATTAACTTTAATATTTTCTCATAATTTATAAAGGAAAACCGTAATTTTTTTTAACAAAAGTTATAATATTAATTAGTATGAGTTTAATTTTTTTCAGAAGGTCATCCAAATAGATCCTTAGTCTTATCTTTATAAATAAAATTGTATTTATACTATTAGAGGAAGGTGATAAATTATTTGTGTGGGTTTAATTTTTTTCCGTTGATAATAAAAAATTTATAATATTAACAGATCATACAGTGTCGCTTGCTGTCAAGGTTCTCTAAAATGCATCACGTACTTTAGAGTGTAATTAGTGTACGATATAATTTTTAATTAAAAAAATCCATAGTTTCACATTTGATAAATTACCCCTTGCATTTCAAAGGATCGAAGCTTTCAAATCTGTCTGATCACTTGTCTAAAACATGGTTAAAATTTTCGACTAAAACCTATTACACTAAATACTAATTGATTGTGTAAAATATGTTACTATATATAAGGACTCAAATCTAAACCCTACTCTTTTAGAGTTTAATTTAATGTTGGCTTAAATTAATTTTGATCCTAAACTTTTCAAAGTCTTAAAATTAACCTTAATTTTACAAAATTTAAAAATTTACCCTTCTAATTAAAACTTTAGACCCCTTCTCTTAAACTGAGGGATCTGAGATAGTTTGGTCGGATATTCGAGATCCGATGTAAGTCACTGAAACGCCTATGATCAGGAGCATCAAGAGACCCAAATTTTGCATCCCGAAACTCATTTTATTAACTAGTTTATCAAACGGAACGTCATCGTGTTCGCCATCCTATATCCATGCATTAATTCCGGGAGCCTAGGCCTCCATTAACAATTAACATGAAAGAAGAATGCGATGTCATCAGTTACTAAAAAAAAAATAACAAATAATGCGATGTGATAATGTGATATGATATATTAGTAGGACTAGTACGAGACTAGTAGGTGTGTTTGTGTTCCACTTGTGACCCTTGCTTTAACCAAATCCGATGCTGAAAAAGAAAAAGACAAAGGATGATTAAAGAAAGCGTCCTCTAAAAAGATGTGCCGCATGATTGGATCTGCTTCGTAACATTAACATCCTTCGCTTTTTATGTTAATAAAGGTTAAAAAGCGAGAAATAAATAAATAAATCTTACAACAGAGTGTATTTATCGATTTTCAATCACGTAGAATTGTAACACATCATACTCCTTATTAGTTAAAAGAAGAAAAAAAAACATTTTAATAATTGCATTAAAGAATAAAAGAAAAAGCAAACCCCACACGAACAACCAATAAGATAGAGCAAGACACGTAGCTTGCGTACGCTACCTGGAAAAGTAAATCATCTTTATTTTTTTATTACATTTTCTAAAAACAAAATAAAAAACAAATCAACATTTTATTGTGGGTGTACGGCTTGGGCATCAGCTCACTCGAAAAACCCGCTTGCAGTGCAGGTTTGCACATGGCTCTTACCTTTTGTGATCGTGCGTACGAGTACGTGTTCTGTTTCTTGAAACCCATTCATTGTACACGTGTACGGCGATGAGACTGGTCCACTAGTCTGTCCAAGTGGTCCCCTCCTTATTAACACGACTGCGTAAGTCATAGCACCTTATTTGACAAACACAGTTAATTAGTACTTTCTAAAACAACGTTTACCAATTTTTTCCCCCTTCAAAATTTCCTTTGTCCAAACTTTGTAAATAACAGGTAATTCAGTTTGTTAATTTTTCTTTTGCCCCAATGTCCAATACCATAGCCAAATATTTAATTCTCAACAAGACCAATAAATGGTGATGTGGTTATCCAAGGAAACACTATTTTCCATTGCCCTTTCAAAATTCTTAAACACTAATTCGGAAAGGGTCCAGTCCAAGTTGGAGGGATGGGACCCAGCTTTCTTCTGATTACGTTAAACTTGTAGCTATCATAATAATAATAATAATATAATATCGATGTTTGGTACGAATGTGCGTAAGAAATTTAAGTATAAATAATAAAATTTTATATAGATTAGAAATGAGTTGGGTAAACCAAATGATAGCAATTCAACGTGAGTACGAGAGCTGAGTAAGTCAGATGAAAATATATATTTTTAGAAGAGATTTAAAAGTTTAATCTTGAACTTATCTGAATAAGATTGTCTTCCCTAAAATATATATGTGATGTATCAACAACAACAAAAACTAATTAAGTAACAATTATATAGGCATGTATATAAAAGATATATTTTTTTTATCTTAAAATGTTAATTTAAAATATGATATCAACTATTATAATTTGTTACTGACCTAATG